ACACTAAGGTGCACTCTGTAACTTTTCTGGTGGAGGGTCCGTCAAATGCTTTTCTCCATGGAGATATGTTGTGCTTTGTTTGGATTGTTTCACTGTCCTCATGGAGAACAAACCAGACCAAGGCCCCGTCCACACTAGTACGTATTTGAGTCATTTTCGTTGCAGATGCAGTGTTCGTCCACACTAATCCGATATAAAACGGCTTCAGAGATGGAACGATCTGGTGCCGTCAGCTCCCACGAATTCATCTGAGTATGGATCTGATCTGGCACCATAGGTCTATGTGCCAACAAAACGCTAAGAGGCTAGAATATATTCATAAATACGGTCTGTGTGTACGACCTGCAGACGTATAATCTCTGAAAAGTTTCACATGAACCATCTTCAACTTGATAGAAGCACAGAAAAGACTCACCATCAGCAGAACACCCCTCTGTCACAGAAAAAAACATTCATATTTCACTGAGTCGTGTCCTTTACTCCGACAGAAGCTGAACCACATGAGCGCACAATAGTGAGCTGTTTTTTGAGCGGTCAGTATATGCAAATTAGTCATGCGGTTTTAAGTTTTGTTTCTGTAAAACGTAAACAAATATGCTCAAAGTTGTGTGGATAAGGTAGGATTGCGGACACAGAAACAACGTGTGTGGATGCAGATCATTTCCAATACAGTGATACAGTGATACGTGGATTCGTTTCAGTGTAACAGGGGTCCAAGTTGCAGGTCAGGTCTGTGGAGAGGCGACCCTGATCAGTCAGAATGCCTGTTTTTTGTGTTTTTTTTTAAATGTCATACTGTGGAAGATTGATGAAAAAGTTGCATAGTGCACCTTTAAATAAGTATTTAAGCATATATGTTCCCTCTCTTGTGAAAATTGGATTAAATATGTTATCTAGGGATGTAACAATAACTGAAATATCGTGATATCGTATCGTCAAAGTTCACACAGTAATATCATGGACCGTCACAATATATTGAATACAAGTCTCTTTGCTTAAATTAAGAGTTATGGTGCAGCAATAGATTTAAAAAAAAAAGACAGAGGGAACTACATAGACCATGATCCTTTGCTACAAGAAGACAAGAAGAAGACTACAAGAAGAATTAACAGTTTTAAGCACTTTTAAGTCTTAGTTCTCTGGATTAAATCTTGTCAAGGCATTTTACGAAAAAGAAGTGGCATATTAACAGTTTTAGCTGTTTAACCTCCACAAAATATCACAATAAATATCATACCATGAGATATATATATATCGTGAAAATATCATACTGAGAGATTTGGATATCGTTACATTCCTAATCGTGAGCCTCCCCACCATATCGTGAGCTTTCCCACGATGTCGCAATAAATATTGTACCGTGAGGTTCATACGGTGATGATATCGTATCATGAGACTTGGATATTGTTACGTCCTTACTAAATGCTAGTAACCAAACCAACAGTCTACAGTAAGCTTCATATCCCTACATGAAGTTCTAAGAGAAGACAGGTATTTGGCATTTTCTATTTAGTCACTTGCACAATTTTTTGGCAACACACTTCCCCAGTAAACCGGATGCTTGTTGAAGAGAATGAGTGGCTCCTCTTTCCTGTTATAGAAGCATGACTACTTTCAAACTATGAGTCACCTTCCCCTGCATGTCCAAATCATTTGTTTAAAAACTCATCCATATAATAAAGAATGAGATCTTATGCCTTTTTTGTTTAACTTTGGTTTTCTGGTAAGTGAAAGTTGCAAGTAATCTAAAATTCTTCTTAAGTCAGAGTAAGCCAAGACCCAATGTCTGTCTACAAAACAAGCATGTGTTGGAAAATGGCTCATCTCACGGGAATTCATCTTAACCACTAATAAATTTAAAGGTACCACTAAATGACATAACAAAGTGAAAAGAGGCACATTGAGGTTTGGGGATGCAGAGAACCTAATCATTTAGTATTTAAACTTTCAATTTATTTCATTTGCATAAGGAAAATGTAGTGTGTGTAATATACATTTTTCATATTTTAATGTTCTGTGTAAAAATAAGGTGTTGTAGATGCAAAAATGTTCCATGCATTTGGTAGAAAAAATGAATTCCTTAAGTAAAGATGTACACATTTTTTTATTTTTTTTTTTGAAGATGACATTAACGTTTTTAGTGCTTCACTTGGAGATGTATTAGTCACAGTGAGTGAGAAAAGCTGTAGAGTCTTGCTTAATGGAAATTTCATTAATTCTAACCACCCTACCAATAATTTTGATAATTGGTTTATTTAGAAGCTGCCATGTTTTAATTATTTTTTAGTTTTTTTCATGAATAGAGTGTTTAGATAAAGGTCAATTGCATAACTTTTCTGGTGGAGGGTCTGTCAAAACTTTTCTTCATGGAGATGTTATTGTTTTGTCTAAACCTTTCTATCTTCATGGAGACCAAACCAGACCAATTTACAGGTCAGATCTGTGAAGAGGCGACCCCGCTCACAGTCAGAATGTCTGTTTTCTAGGTATTTTTTTGAGCATTGAAATCACCTGTGATTGAATATATGTAAAATAGATTTGTTTAATGTCATACTGTGTAACATTCTAAGCCAAGCAATAGGAACAAGCAGGTGACGGACCCCCAACCAAAAAGTTACACAGTGCATCCACCTTGATCACGCCCATCAGAAATCATGGAGACACTATATACTGTAATTCCGGATGCAAATGTCTTTTTAAAGTTATGTCAAACTTCACGTGATACTACATTATATCCATAGATAGATTGTAAGGGTGTGCAAAAATATCGAAATATCGTATTATTTAATGTGATGATACACTATCGGGTTGCTGTATCGATATATCGCCAAGAGTATTTTTTTGTGTGTGTGTATTTTACAAAATTATTTTGTTACAGCACTACAGTTTTATTGCTTGTTTAGAGGAAGGAAACTCAATTGTGCAACGCATTTGACATTTTCACAATTTTGATGATTAAAATGGGCTTTTTGGCTTAATTTGGCTTAAAATTTGCAGAAGAAGTGGTTTAGCAAAGACTTTTAGTACCACAGCCATAATTTAGAATACATTTTTTATTGAAATGTATCAAATCATTTTGAAATATATCGTATCGAATCGAAAGTGCACCGTATCGAGGTCTGTATCGTATTGGCAACTTCTCCCTGGTAGATTGATGGTAAATTAAGACTTTCCACCCAGCTCCATCTTTTACATTTTTATTTTTATTTTTTTTAACTAATGCATGGTTATTATGTTCAATTTAATGCATTCATAAGGTTTAGGCTGTTATGTAAAATTGACTCTTGTGAGCTTTAAACCATGTTAGAACGCTGTTACCTCCTCCAAAACATAACTGGAGTTGTGTTTTGTTGCATTCACGCATATTTGAGTAACCCTGGTTTATTATTGTCAAAGCTCAAAATGCTCTGTTCCACCTTGTGATGTCATGAACAGCTACTTTTTACCTTTTGTTCAGAAGAGATTGGCAATTCCAGGGCTGAAATGATCCAAATGACGTGTATAAAGTTTGAAAACACGGTGGGGCACTTTTTACCACGTGACATCACAATGTGGAAAAGGGCGATTTCTGTTTGAGAGAAGAACTCAGCCTAAATATGCAGGATTTGTGTGTTAAACATGTGAGAATGAAACAAAACACAACTCCAGATATGTTTTTGATGAACATTACAACGTAGATCAGGAAGTAGCATAATATAAGCCCTTTTGGGGGTTTTTTTTGCCTCTTCCTGCACCTACTTTTTATCTAATGTGCCCTTTTTATTGTTATATGTTGTATGTATAAGTGCAAAAAAATAAATAACAGTCCAATAGACGCATGAAGAATCTCGGACTTCCGGTCATTGCGCAATGCATACTGGGAAGGATTTTCCGAAAAAGTGAGCATCAAACCGCCATGTTTGTTTTCCCAGTGGGATGCGTCTATTGACAAAGCTGAACTTTTCAAGTCTTTTGAACGATATCACTTTTGTTTCTGGTTCTGATATTGTCATATTTTGGTTTTGGGATTCGGACATCGTTAATTGTGTGGTTGTTGGATCGTAACAGTGAAAAATGGCTCGAGAAATTTGTTTGCGAACTCCATAGATACAAAAGTGAATCAGATGTGTGTGACTGCAAACCTCTGTTCAAACTGTTTCCCTTCCCAACGGAATTGAAAAATAGTGAAAGGCGATGGGCAGGATTGATCCACAGAAAGGACGATAAAGGAAACCTTTGACTGCCTAAATCATCCCGAGTTTGCAGCGAACATTTTGTATGTGGATCAAAGCGGGATCCCGTTTGTTAAGCGAGAGGTACAGAAGACAAACAAGCCGAGCTCGCACTTTCTTGTTCTTGTAGTTTTACAGCAACATCATGTCTTGGTCTCTTTGCAGTGGAAGGTGTTTCTTGGTGAACAGCTGGTGCCTTTCGCTTTGGTGTTGACTTTTTAAATTCGTGACCAAGGTTGAGTGAGGGATTGGGATTTTGTTTGATGGCGCTCCACATACAAAATGTCAAAACCCAGGATGATTTCTTTTTTGTCCTTCCTGTGGATCAATACTGCCTATCGCCTTCGCTTTTCACTATTTTTCAATTCCGTTTGAAACAGTTTTAACAAAGATTTACAGTCACACACATCTGATTTCCTTTTGCATCTATGGAGTTTGCAAACAAATTTCTCGAGCCGTTTTCCGCTGTTAGGATCCAACAACCACACAATTAATGATGTCCGAATCCCATAACTAAAATATGACATTATCAGAATTAGAAACAAAAGTGATATGGTTCAAAAGACTGGAAAAAGCTGACTTTGTCAATAGACACATCCCACTGGGAGAACAAACATGGCGGTTTGATGCTCACTTTTTCGGAAAATCCTTCCCAGTATGCACTGCGCAATGACCGGAAGTCCGAGATTCTTGATGTGTGTATTACAGCAACCACATCACACACTACACAGATCTTACGCATATTATATTAACCTTGTTATAAAGTGAAGTTCTGCTTATTTTTCTTACTTGGTGCTGGTCTCCTGGGGTTGTGGCCAGACTGTAGACATCTGAAGTGTGGTCTTCAGGTGGTCCACTGAAGGAGGCTGAAGCATAAACTGTGGACATTTCCACTGGACGAGAAGCTCTGTTGTCTGGGATCTCCTCATAGACTCTGTGGGTCTGAGGGAGAGTCATGGTTGGTGTAAGATGTTATTGCTTCATCTGGAATGTTTCACAGTATGGCATTAAACCTTTCATCCTCATGGAGACCAAACCAGACCAAGTTACAAGTCAGATCTGTGGAGAGGTGACCCTGCTCAGTCAGAATGTCTCCTTTTCTAGCTGTAAAACTACTTGTAATTCAATAAATGTAAGATAGAGCTGTTAAATGCCATACTGTGAAACCGTTCCATGCAGAGGAATGACAGATCCATAGAAACATGAAGGTGATGGAAATATGTTTTTTAATATTTGGATTTGTTGGATAATAATTTCTGTGAACATTTGTGGAGTTTTGCCGTAACATCTCTAGTGTGATGTCATGATTTCCTAGCCTGATTCATCAGCCAGTTTGACTTTGTAGAAACCGTCTGACATCGCAGTGATTCGTTCGCTCAACGGTAGGCAGGTACTTTTTATCATTTAACCAATCGCTGCTATTTGGTCGTGACATACGTAATGTGTCACTAACAGGGCTAACTGGTATATTAAGCTTTTCCCAAATCCCGTAGAAAGAAGGACAATAACGTCTTTCCCCTTGATGAAATTCGCCAAATATTCTCTTTGTTCTGGCTTTAAATCCTCGATCCCGGGAATCGTTGACAGCACTGAACATGTGGCTTTTCGCTGATTGGCTGGTGCCCGAACTCACACTTCTGGGGTTTTTGCGAACCGTCTAGTAAAGTTTGATTCCTGACTTCGTCGCTGGAGAGAAAGGAAATTGAGCGGAGGCACTAGCTGGCTAATGATTTCCACCCAGAAAGTAAAAATCCAAAATGGGAAAACAAGTGTGATTGTTTTTGCTTATCAATCGTAACTATAACGATTTGTGTTTTTGTAAAAAAAAAAAAGAAAAAAAGAAAAATGAGTAGTCTAACCTGACATAAGCACTTAAAGTACATTTGATTTGACATTTCATCGTGAACTTAAAATAAAGTATGATATGAAACAAAGTCAGTCAGGTGCATCTGGATTTGGCGTTATTACTCTGTCTACGGTCAGCACAAGGATTTACCTCTGAAAAGACATCAGCTAAAGGCGTGCTAATGTAAGCAAGCAATTGTTATGAACTTGATTTGACTGTAACAATGCCCAGAATGAGTCTGGCAATGATTGATGAACTTAAAAATAGTGCAAAAGAAGAAAGAGAAGGACTCGACCCGAAACAAACAACAAAAATTTGGGAGCTTCAAAGAACTGCAGTGCGGATCTCTCACTTTCTCTTTCTTTTGCACAACTTTCTTGTCAACGTTTTTGGCCCCAGCATGCACACGCAACTTTTCTTGAACGTGCATGTCTCTGTCTACCAATATTGAACTTAAAAACAGCTCATGAGAACTCCAGATCTCTACCTGTGACCCAGTAATGTGGCTGATGTGGCTTGAACTTACCACAGGAGTTGACCCATATTCCGTAGTTATCACAGGAGATGCTGCGGAAAACAAGACAAGCATCGAAAGCTTTAGTAACATCCAGTTCACCGTGTTTTATTATTATATTATTCTAATTTAGTTTCTCAATCTCACCTTTGGATCTCTTCTTACAGTAGAATATCAGCAGAGCAGCTAGTAACAGGATTAGTATAGCAACGAGAGACAGACTCACGTACAGCGGTGATACTCCTGTCAAAGAAGGTTAACTTTTTTTTTTTTTTTCAGTAGATTTCAATATTTAACATTTTCTGTATTTTTTATAAAACAAAACCAAAATAACACGAAATAAAAAATGCATTTGGGAGTTGGAGTTGCGTTGAAGAGTTGATCGAGCTGGAGGTTTTGGAGTGAGTATTTTCTACGTACTGGTTCACGAGTTGAATTTGCCATGAAAACGTGCTGATAATTAACTTATTTTAGTAAAAAAAAAAAAAAATGTTCAACTGGTAAAATGGTGTTGAAATTACAAAAAAGCACAGTGCAGAACTACAGAACTAGCCTGATTCATCAGCCGGTGTCACTTCGTAGAAACCGCCTGACCTCACAGCGTTGGAATTTGTTCGCTCGACGGTAGGCAGGTACTTTTTTTTTATTTAACCAATTGCTGCTATTTGGTCGTGACATATGTAATGCACTTCCGGGGTTTTTGCGAACCGTCTAGTGCAGGGGTGTCAAACTCATTTTGGTCCGGGGGCCGTATCCAACCTACTTTGATCCCAAAGGGGCCGGATCAGAAAACTCATGGCATATAAACTCAAAAATAACAATAAGTTCAAATATTTGTGTAGAGAAACGCAAATCTATGACAGAAATATTTTTTAACCGATGAACTCTTTCGTTTACAAAATATTATAATATTATGATCAACCTGAAACTTTAAGAAAAATGCAATTTCAACACATTGTTTTAACATTAACTTGTAGGCAAATAGGAATACATCAATTTTTGGGGGGAAAATCCTGCACTCGGCGTCCAGTTTTCTTATTTTGGACATTTTGCTGATGAGGGTGTCACGGCCAACAGTCAAAACGATCGTCCTTTAAGAGCGTTTGGAAAGAGACAAGTCTTCATTTGTGCTGCTCTGGTGGGAGGGGCCACACACAGAGACGCTGGAGATGCTGCTATGCTCAGTGGCGCAGAAAATTACTAATATTTTAATAGAAAATATAGTTGAAATATTTTAGTAGAAAATCAGCCAAGGGTCAAATTAAAGGTCTTGACACCCCTGGTCTAGTGTATTCTGAGCGGAGGCACTAGGTGGCACCAGCCTGGCTACTACAGAACAGCAGGTAGTGTAAAATCTTCTGGTGGTGATTAGAACAAAAACAAAAACTTTCTTGTAAAGCTGTATTTTCTTTCTTTCTTTTTTTTTTTTACCGAAAATTCTACTGGAGAACAGTGATGTAAGATTATATCACAAAAGACTCGTGCCACATGATCTTGCAAGGCAAAACTACCACAAGATTTCACATTTGGCTTGAGCAAAAAATACAAAGTTCCATCTCTTGAGAAGCTGTAGTTCCGAAAGCCAATAATTAAAACGATTAGGGCAAATACACTGTGGACTGACTCTCACAAAATCTGACTTTATCTCTTTCTCGTGAACCCAATCTCATGTCTCATCTCTTCTTGTGAAACCTGTGTCTTGAAAACCCCCATGACTCACGTGATGTAATGTCAGATCACAAAAGATCCACATATGAGGGAACCACAGACGGAGCTAAGATCAATAACACAAGTACAGCCTCCACCTGCATATCTCCACAGTACCTGATGGTTTTGTCTGCTGCTCATGATCAGGTGATGCAGAAGAGTGATTGGACTGTGGCTTCGGAGATAAACTATGTTGTGTTGTAGTCACAGACATGCGTGAAGTCTGGTCACCTGTTTGTACAGTCAGGTCCATATCAGTGGTGGGTTTCACAGTCACATTAGGTTCTGGTTTAAGAGTATAAGTTGGATTTAAAGCTGCATCTGAAAAAAATTTAAAAAGATAACGTTAGAAGGAAAATGTTATAAAACTGCTTTTGTTGCTTTTGAAAATGTTTAGAATTGATTATAAGATACGTACTATTTTTGACGTTAATTGTAAATTCATGTTTTCCATCTATCATGTAGTTTCTATTCACAACACACTGGTATTGTCCGGAGTCGGCACTGGTCACATTGGTGATGTTCACGTACATGATATAACCATTCAATAAACCTTTGTACTCATATTTAATGCAGTATCTTCCTTTACATTGCTCATTTTCTGAAGTCTTGACCAAAATGTTTTTTTCTTCGTCACAGTTATTTTTACAGAAGAGCTTTGTGTGTCCATCCAATTTAAATGGACATCCAACTGTGATGTTTCCTCCTTCAGCCACCTCACGGTCACCCTCTGCTCTGATGAAACCAGGCAGTCCATACAGCACTGTTCAGAAAATACACCCATTAAGTTCATAATTCAGGAAAGAACAAAACTGTGAAAACATTATATTCTGCATTTCAATACAATTTTCAGAATCAGTATCCGTCTCTTCTCCTCAAAACCAATTTCTTACAGACATACATTGTACTGTAACTCAGATCGCTTAATCAAAGACGCTTGACTGCACTATTTTAATTTATGTTATAACGTCGTTTCCTCATCACAAACACACACAGAGTTGTCAGATGAAGAAAAGAAGAAGAAGAAGAGCGCTTCACTGGGTTATAAAAAAAATAAAAAGCAGCAGTACATGTGCTCTACGAGGGTTAAAATTAAAATCTAGACAGAACGTTGCCCTTAGTAAAAATGTAAAAGTGGGTAAGGTACAAACCCAAGACACACCGACTGGACTGAATATAGTAACAATTGAGTTTTGTTTCATTCTGAGATGTTTAACACACAACCCCTGCATATTTAAAGTTCTTCTGACAAAGGGAAAACACTTCATTCCACTTTGTGATGTCATGCACAGTAAATACAGGAAGCGCTTCAGGGTACTGCACACTTCACTAAAATCATTTTGGTAATTTCAGGCCTGCNAACCCAATCTCATGTCTCATCTCTTCTTGTGAAACCTGTGTCTCGAAAACCCCATGATCACGTGATGTAATGTCAGATCACAAAAGATCCACATATAGGGAACCACAACGGAGCTAAGATCAATAACACAAGTACACCCCACCTGAATCTCCACAGTACCTGATGGTTTTCTCTGCTGCTCATGATCAGGTGATCGGAAGAGTGATTGAACTGTGGCTTCGGAGAAAACTATGTTGTGTTGTAGTCACAGACATGAGTGAAGTCTGGTCACCTGTTTGTACAGTCAGGTCCATATAGTGGTGGGTTTCACAGTCACATTAGGTTCTGGTTTAAGAGTATAAGTTGGATTTAAAGCTGCATCTGAAAAAAAATGATATGTTAGAAAAAATGTTATAAAACTGCTTTTGTTGCTTTTGAAAATGTTTTAGAATTGATTTAAGATACGTACTTTTTTGACTTAATTCTAAATTCTGGTTTCCACTATCATGTAAATTCTATTCACAACACACTGGTATTGTCCGGAGTCGCACTGTCACATTGGTGATGTTCACGTACAATGATACCATTCAATAAATCTTTGTACTCATATTTAATGCAGTATCTTCCTTTACATTGCTCATTTTCTGAAGTGACCAAAAGTTTTTTTCTTGTCACAGTTATTTTTACAGAAGACTTTGTGTCCACCCATTAAATGACATGCAACTGTGATTTTCCTCTTCAGCCACCTCACGGTCACCCTCTGCTCTGATGAACCAGGCAGTCCATACAGCACTGTTCAGAAATACACCCATAAGTTATATTCAGGAAAGAACAAAACTGTGAAAACATTATATTCTGCATTTCAATACAATTTTCAGAATCAGTATCCGTCTCTTCTCCTCAAAACCAATTTCTTACAGACATACATTGTACTGTAACTCAGATCGCTTAATCAAAGACGTGTGGTCAGATTGAAGAAAAGAAAAAGAAGAAGAGCGCTTCACTGGGTTATAAAAAAAATAAAAAGCAGCAGTACATGTGCTCTACGAGGGTTAAAATTAAAATCTAGACAGAACGTTGCCCTTAGTAAAAAATGTAAAAGTGGGTAAGGTACAAACCCAAGACACACCGACTGGACTGAATATAGTAAAATTTTTATTGACTGTGAGTATGTTTAACATTCAACCCCTGTTTTAAAGTTCTTCTGACAAAGGGAAAACACTTCCGTTCCACTTTGTGATGTCATGTACAGTAAATACAGGAAGCGCTTCAGGGTACTGCACACTTGACTAAAATCATTTTGGTAATTTCAGGCCTGCATTTGCATTTTAAGTTACAGCTTTTGATTTAGCCTCATCAAATCGTTTCATTCCTCAGTGCACCAGCAGATATGAGAGACTTTGTGTGACAATCTCATCAACACTTAAAGGTAAAATGAAAATATTCAAAAATAAAAGCAAGTTTTTTAAGAGTAATGAAGTAAGTAAAGCTGTTGATTTGGGGCTAGTGACTGAAACAAAACTCAACTCATGACTAAAAGCTCACAAGAGTCAATTCTGTAATATAAATGTAGGTCTTTTAAAAGTGCATCATGAAACTTTTTTTTTTTTGGTGGAGGGTCAGCCACTTGCTAGTCGTTGCTTTGCTGGGATGTTCCACAGTATGTCATTAAACCAGCCTGTGTCCATGGAGATAAGCAGGTGACACCACAAAGTCAAGTTACAGGTCAATTCTGTGGGGAGGTGACCCCAGCAATGCAAGTTTTTCGAGTAACATTTAGCAATAAAACACTTTAAATTGAATGAATGCTAGATAGTTCTGTTTAATGCCATAATGCGGAACATTTCAGGCACTGCAATACATCTCCCTCCAGAAAAACAAAGTGGAATAATAATGAAATAAAGTGAAAAACCTAAAAAAACCTGACAATTAAACGAAACACTAAATTGCACTTTGTTCTTGAATTTGAAGAAGCACATATTAAGAAAATATCTGGGCTACTGTTAAAGGTGCATTACGTAACTTTTTCCGATGGAGATGTCATTGCTTCGTCTGGAATGTTTCACAATATGGTATTGAACATTTCTATTTTCAAGTAAAGGTCAGACTAAGACTGTCAGTACGTGCGGTGACCAAGGGCTGCCCCATCTTGCAGGGCTGGGGCCAGGTATTGGGGTTCAGTGTTTTTGGAACTGTGAGCAGAGAGACTGTGAGGAGAGTGCTCTTGTTGTTGTGTTTTTTAGATCCAGTTCGAGGTTACTTTCATCTTTGGTAGTGTGTGCGTAGTACAAAACGTAAGTAGATGTTCTCTTTGTTTTGTTTAGCTGTTCTATAAACTTTTCCTTATTGTGTTTCAGCCCGTTTTGGCCTAATTTGCATGCGTCATGCATGACAGGTAGCATGACTCTGGGTACGGCACCTCTTAAAGGTGCAGCATAGTCAGAAGAGCGGCTAAATTTATTTAGAGTTTAGAGTTTGTTTAATATATCCATGTGTATTATTATGTATTATCAGTGTTGGGGAGTAACAGATTACATGTACCGGAGTTACGTAATCAGAGTACAAATTATGAGTAACTGTATTCAGTTACAGTTACTGTTTCAGTGAGTGGTATTTGGATTACAGTTACTTAAGAGTTAATAAGAGTTAATACAGTTAAAGTTAATAAATGGATTACACAGCGGTATTTTCCTGTTTTCACATTTTGGGCTATATATATATTTATTTATTTTTTCGGTAATTCCACTCATTGCCGGACTCTAAACCAGATCTAAACCCAGGTCTAAACCAGGTCTAAACCAGGTCTAAAACCAGATCTAAAACCCAGGTCTAAACCAGGTCTAAACCAGGTCTAAACCAGATCTAAACCAGGTCTAAACCAGGTCTAAAACTGGGTCTAAAACCAGGTTTAAAACCAGGTCTAAACCAGGTCTAAAACCAGGTTTAACCAGGTCTAAACCAGGTTTAAACCAGGTCTAAAACCAGGTCTAAACCAGATCTAAATCAGGACTAAAACCAGGTCTAAACCAGGTCTCAAACAAGGTCTAAAACCAGGTCTAAATCAGGACTAAAACCAGGTCTAAACCATGTCTAAGACCAGGTCTAAACCAGATCTAAAACAGGATTTAACAGGACTAAACCATGCCACGTGGATCGTGTCTCTTCCTCTTCTATCAGTAATATTTTTAATCTGGTAATTAGGAAAGTCTGGGCCTTTTATTTTATTTTCTTTTAGTTTTATTCAGATAAAACATCTTATGTGAAGATTTCCTCGTCTTTGCTTCTCTACAGCAAATTAAGTAATCCAAAGTATTCAGATTACATTACTCACTTTAAGTAATTTAATGGATTCTGTTACAAACTACATTTTGGGATATGTAATCTGTAATCTGTAGGGGAATACATTTTAAAAGTAACCTTCCCAACACTGTGTATAGTTGTATAGTTATTTAATAAATTTTTTATGCCTTGTTTTCCACAGAACCACACACACACCATTTTCTGCCAAATACTGGATAATCAATAAAGCACATTTATCAAAGACATCTGGCTGATCCTTCCGAGGGCACCCTGCAGCGGGTCAATACAGACAATGCCAGAGGCAACCACGCTAGGTATATTTGAACAATAAAACCACCTGTATTTGAATAAATGTAAAGTAGAGCTGTAAAATTTGTAGCAGAGTTTTGGACAATGCACACCTGTTCTGACATTCATACAACATTAATAGTATTGGAATCCATCATAATAATTACTGAATTTGATCAATTTAGTCATGATTTCTTAACATTAATTTAATATGTAGCCCATTACACATTATAAAACACCTTAATATTAAATACAAACTCTCTCTCTGTCCATCACGCATTAGTGGTTGCTGTTCCTTCCTTCTTGAAAAACCTATTTTTAGATGCTCTTTACAAACGTACTGAAAAAGTGAATTCCCACTAAAAAGGTCCAAATGCATTTAGTACATATATAT